AACAGGTCTGCGAGCAGAGCCCAGCTCCCCTACACCTCATTAGCTTCCGGGAATCTCCCAGACGGAGTCGGCCTGGGAATAGCCTGCATTTCCGTGATGTTATTCGTGAGCTGAGTCCAAAGGCTGCCGAGCAATCTCAGCCTCTGGGTGAACACACCTCTGTTTAGCTATAGTAAGTAGGAACCCGGTTGACAGTCGATAGGCAGATCGCTTTTATGGGGGTAATAATTCCTTCAAAAAAAATATATAATAAACTGATCACTTAATCCATGACTGTTTGTGGAGACGCTGCTGTGCGCAATTGGCTGCTGCATTTCGCCCATAAAATACACAGTTAATTCACTTTACTGTGTTTCCTGTGAAGCGCTTTGAGACGTCGAGAAGACCTGAAAAGGCACTGTATCAAATGGAAGGATTATTATTATTATTATTATAACAAGGATTACAATAATAATAAACCTTGCAGTTGATACAGCGCCTTATCACGTCATTGAGACGTCTCAAAGCGCTGGGGGGCTGTGCTGGGCTGTACTGGGCTGGGGGGCTGTGCTGGGCTGGGAAGCTGGGCTTGATGGCTGTGCTGGGGGGCTGTGCTGGGGGCTGTGCTGGGCTGTGCTGGGGGGCTGGGTTGTGCTGTGCTGGGGGGCTGTGCTGGGGGCTGTGCTGGGCTGTGCTGGGGGGCTGGGTTGTGCTGTGCTGGGGGGATGTGCTGGGGGGCTGTGCTGGGCTGGGCTGGGCTGGGGGGCTGTGCTGGGCTGGGCTGGGCTGGGGGCTGTGCTGGGCTGTGCTGTGCTGGGGGGATGTGCTGGGCTGTGCTGGGGGGCTGTGCTGGGCTGGGCTGTGCTGTGCTGGGGCTGTGCTGGGGCTGTGCTGGGGCTGTGCTGGGGGCTGTGCTGTGCTGGGGGCTGTGCTGGGGGCTGTGCTGGGGCTGTGCTGGGCTGTGCTGGGGGCTGTGGGGCTGTGCTGGGGGGCTGGGGGGCTGTGCTGTGGGGCTGGGGGGCTGTGCTGGGGGCTGTGGGGCTGTGCTGGGGGGCTGTGGGGCTGTGCTGGGGGGCTGTGCTGTGCTGGGGGGCTGTGGGGCTGTGCTGGGGGCTGTGCTGGGGGCTGTGGGGCTGTGCTGGGGGGCTGTGCTGTGCTGGGGTGGGCTGTGCTGGGGGGCTGTGCTGGGGGGCTGTGCTGTGGGGCTGTGGGGCTGTGCTGGGGAGCTGTGCTGTGCTGTGCTGGGGGGCTGTGCTGGGGGGCTGGGGGGCTGTGCTGGGCTGTGCTGGGGGCTGTGGGGCTGTGCTGGGGGCTGGGGGGCTGTGGGCTGTGCTGGGGGCTGTGGGGGGCTGTGCTGGGGGGCTGTGGGGTGGCTGTGGGGGGCTGTGCTGTGGGGGGCTGTGGGGCTGTGCTGTGGGGGTGGGGGGCTGTGCTGGGCTGTGCTGGGGGCTGTGGGGCTGTGCTGGGGGCTGTGGGCTGTGGCTGGGGGGCTGTGGGGCTGTGCTGGGGGGCTGTGCTGGGGCTGTGGGGCTGTGGGCTGTGCTGGGGCTGTGGGGGCTGTGGGGGCTGTGCTGTGCTG